GTTCAGAGCATCAAGTCTTCAAACCTATAAAGGTACATAACAGTTCATAGCATGAAGTCTTCAAACCTATAAAGATACATAACAATTCAGAGCATCAAGTCTTCAAACCTATAAAGGTACATAACAGTTCATAGCATCAAGTCTTCAAACCTATAAAGGTACATAACAGTTCAGAGCATCAAGTCTTCAAACCTATAAAGGTTTATAACAGTTCAGAGCATCAAGTCTTCAAACCTATAAAGGTTTATAACAGTTCAGAGCATCAAGTCTTCAAACCTATAAAGATACATAACAGTTCAGAGCATCAAGTCTTCAAACCTATAAAGATACATAACAGTTCATAGCATCAAGTCTTCAAACCTATAAAGGTTTATAACAGTTCAGAGCATCAAGTCTTCAAACCTATAAAGGTACATAACAGTTCAGAGCATCAAGTCTTCAAACCTATAAAGGTACATAACAGTTCATAGCATCAAGTCTTCAAACCTTTAAAAGGTTTATAACAGTTCATAGCATCAAGTCTTCAAATTGCCAATAACATTTCATCTTGTATTAATAAGTATCAGAAAAAACGTTGAAGGAAAGCCATTCCTAAGCAAACAAATGGTGGTTGAACATTTGGATATTTTACTCCCTACAACAGGCAATTCCGTACATATGCCATACCAACATGTTATCTGAACCCAGCACGACAGGCATTAGTGTTTCAATTAAGTAGCATCGTTCGCTTAACGTTATTATACATACACAGTATTTTGGACAGGATTTACGAGTTCTCTCATTAATGTTAACACACATTAATTCTGAACTGAAACCCATTCTTCTCAGACTATCAGCAGACCAACGACTGTTTGAATAACAATGTAGGCATTTCGTCGTCAAATCGATAGTTCTGAAGTAGAATAAACTTTTGTCTCAAGGCATGTAACACAATTAACATTTACTACAAGAGCCAAACAACAAGAACAAATGATTCACAGATGGTTGGCATAAATAGGATACCATATAAACTTCCCTTTGAGGGAGGATTTTCGTGACTTTTGTTAACTTTGTTAAGAGAGGGGGTGTTGCATTGATGTGCAATCTTGAAAATATCATATGTATATCTTGAAAACAATATTAGAAAGAATGAACACGTGCTACTTTGAGGGAAATTCAATGAACCACACAATACGACATAGAATGTATGTAGTCACAAACAGAAAGTAAGAGGAGAATTTCACCCAATCCCAATGTATGTAGTCACAAACAGAAAGTAAGAGCAGAATTTCACCCAATCCCAATGTATGTAGAGTCACAAACAGAAAGTAAAAGCAGAATTTCACCCAATCCCAATGTATGTAGAGTCACAAACAGAAAGTAAGAGCAGAATTTCACCCAATCCCAATGTATGTAGAGTCACAAACAGAAAGTAAGAGGAGAATTTCACCCAATCCCAATGTATGTAGTCACAAACAGAAAGTAAAAGCAGAATTTCACCCAATCCCAATGTATGTAGTCACAAACAGAAAGTAAGAGGAGAATTTCACCCAATCCCAATGTATGTAGTCACAAACAGAAAGTAAGAGCAGAATTTCACCCAATCCCAATGTATGTAGAGTCACAAACAGAAAGTAAGAGCAGAATTTCACCCAATCCCAATGTATGTAGAGTCACAAACAGAAAGTAAGAGGAGAATTTCACCCAATCCCAATGTATGTAGTCACAAACAGAAAGTAAAAGCAGAATTTCACCCAATCCCAATGTATGTAGAGTCACAAACAGAAAGTAAGAGGAGAATTTCACCCAATCCCAATATATGAAGAGTCACAAACAGAAAGTAAGAGGAGAATTTCACCCAATCCCAATGTATGTAGTCACAAACAGAAAGTAAGAGCAGAATTTCACCCAATCCCAATGTATGTAGAGTCACAAACAGAAAGTAAGAGCAGAATTTCACCCAATCCCAATGTATGTAGTCACAAACAGAAAGTAAGAGCAGAATTTCACCCAATCCCAATGTATGTAGTCACAAACAGAAAGTAAGAGGAGAATTTCACCCAATCCCAATGTATGTAGTCACAAACAGAAAGTAAGAGCAGAATTTCACCCAATCCCAATGTATGTAGAGTCACAAACAGAAAGTAAGAGCAGAATTTCACCCAATCCCAATGTATGTAGTCACAAACAGAAAGTAAAAGCAGAATTTCACCCAATCCCAATGTATGTAGTCACAAACAGAAAGTAAGAGGAGAATTTCACCCAATCCCAATGTATGTAGAGTCACAAACAGAAAGTAAGAGCAGAATTTCACCCAATCCCAATGTATGTAGTCACAAACAGAAAGTAAGAGCAGAATTTCACCCAATCCCAATGTATGTAGTCACAAACAGAAAGTAAGAGGAGAATTTCACCCAATCCCAATGTATGTAGTCACAAACAGAAAGTAAGAGCAGAATTTCACCCAATCCCAATGTATGTAGTCACAAACAGAAAGTAAGAGCAGAATTTCACCCAATCCCAATGTATGTAGAGTCACAAACAGAAAGTAAGAGCAGAATTTCACCCAATCCCAATGTATGTAGTCACAAACAGAAAGTAAGAGGAGAATTTCACCCAATCCCAATGTATGTAGTCACAAACAGAAAGTAAGAGCAGAATTTCACCCAATCCCAATGTATGTAGAGTCACAAACAGAAAGTAAGAGGAGAATTTCACCCAATCCCAATGTATGTAGTCACAAACAGAAAGTAAGAGGAGAATTTCACCCAATCCCAATGTATGTAGAGTCACAAACAGAAAGTAAGAGCAGAATTTCACCCAATCCCAATGTATGTAGAGTCACAAACAGAAAGTAAGAGGAGAATTTCACCCAATCCCAATGTATGTAGAGTCACAAACAGAAAGTAAGAGCAGAATTTCACCCAATCCCAATGTATGTAGAGTCACAAACAGAAAGTAAGAGCAGAATTTCACCCAATCCCAATGTATGTAGTCACAAACAGAAAGTAAGCAGAATTTCACCCAATCCCAATGTATGTAGTCACAAACAGAAAGTAAGAGCAGAATTTCACCCAATCCCAATGTATGTAGAGTCACAAACAGAAAGTAAGAGGAGAATTTCACCCAATCCCAATGTATGTAGTCACAAACAGAAAGTAAGAGCAGAATTTCACCCAATCCCAATGTATGTAGAGTCACAAACAGAAAGTAAGAGCAGAATTTCACCCAATCCCAATGTATGTAGAGTCACAAACAGAAAGTAAGAGGAGAATTTCACCCAATCCCAATGTATGTAGAGTCACAAACAGAAAGTAAGAGCAGAATTTCACCCAATCCCAATGTATGTAGTCACAAACAGAAAGTAAGAGCAGAATTTCACCCAATCCCAATGTATGTAGAGTCACAAACAGAAAGTAAGAGCAGAATTTCACCCAATCCCAATGTATGTAGTCACAAACAGAAAGTAAGCAGAATTTCACCCAATCCCAATGTATGTAGTCACAAACAGAAAGTAAAAGCAGAATTTCACCCAATCCCAATGTATGTAGTCACAAACAGAAAGTAAGCAGAATTTCACCCAATCCCAATGTATGTAGTCACAAACAGAAAGTAAAAGCAGAATTTCACCCAATCCCAATGTATGTAGTCACAAACAGAAAGTAAGAGCAGAATTTCACCCAATCCCAATGTATGTAGAGTCACAAACAGAAAGTAAGAGCAGAATTTCACCCAATCCCAATGTATGTAGAGTCACAAACAGAAAGTAAGAGCAGAATTTCACCCAATCCCAATGTATGTAGTCACAAACAGAAAGTAAGAGCAGAATTTCACCCAATCCCAATGTATGTAGTCACAAACAGAAAGTAAGAGCAGAATTTCACCCAATCCCAATGTATGTAGTCACAAACAGAAAGTAAGAGCAGAATTTCACCCAATCCCAATGTATGTAGAGTCACAAACAGAAAGTAAGAGGAGAATTTCACCCAATCCCAATGTATGTAGAGTCACAAACAGAAAGTAAGAGGAGAATTTCACCCAATCCCAATGTATGTAGTCACAAACAGAAAGTAAAAGCAGAATTTCACCCAATCCCAATGTATGTAGTCACAAACAGAAAGTAAGAGCAGAATTTCACCCAATCCCAATGTATGTAGTCACAAACAGAAAGTAAGAGCAGAATTTCACCCAATCCCAATGTATGTAGTCACAAACAGAAAGTAAAAGCAGAATTTCACCCAATCCGAATGTATGTAGTCACAAACAGAAAGTAAAAGCAGAATTTCACCCAATCCCAATGTATGTAGAGTCACAAACAGAAAGTAAAAGCAGAATTTCACCCAATCCCAATGTATGTAGTCACAAACAGAAAGTAAGAGCAGAATTTCACCCAATCCCAATGTATGTAGAGTCACAAACAGAAAGTAAAAGCAGAATTTCACCCAATCCCAATGTATGTAGTCACAAACAGAAAGTAAGAGCAGAATTTCACCCAATCCCAACGTATGTAGAGTCACAAACAGAAAGTAAGAGCAGAATTTCACCCAATCCCAATGTATGTAGAGTCACAAACAGAAAGTAAGAGCAGAATTTCACCCAATCCCAATGTATGTAGTCACAAACAGAAAGTAAGAGCAGAATTTCACCCAATCCCAATGTATGTAGAGTCACAAACAGAAAGTAAGAGCAGAATTTCACCCAATCCCAATGTATGTAGAGTCACAAACAGAAAGTAAGAGGAGAATTTCACCCAATCCCAATGTATGTAGTCACAAACAGAAAGTAAAAGCAGAATTTCACCCAATCCCAATGTATGTAGAGTCACAAACAGAAAGTAAGAGCAGAATTTCACCCAATCCCAATGTATGTAGAGTCACAAACAGAAAGTAAGAGGAGAATTTCACCCAATCCCAATGTATGTAGTCACAAACAGAAAGTAAAAGCAGAATTTCACCCAATCCCAATGTATGTAGAGTCACAAACAGAAAGTAAGAGCAGAATTTCACCCAATCCCAATTTGTTTATAAACACTGATATTCAACAGGGGACCAATGACCATCACTTTGACAGTTGAGTGTCATTTTCCCAGGCTGTGTTGATACAAGGCCAGTATCACATCCGTATGTTATTGTGTATATGTATGTCAACTGGTGGTAAGCTGTGATATGGGCTCCGACTTGAGGAAGAGGTGGTGATCCACAGTCTAGGTGAAAAAACAGACAAAAACATTGCTAAATAGTTGAGAAATTGTTGCAATATTTTTTTCAATCTTCCCAAGATGTTTTATTCAGAATAAATCATCATGATAATTCGTTATCCTATCGACGATAATGGAATCTATCACCTAAATTTGTATTTTCGTTCCTGAGAATAAAACATAAACCCTAGCCGACTAGAACTGCGTCAGATAAAAAACCCATCTAGACATATTTTTCCAATGCATTTATTTCACTATTAAACCCTAACCGACATTAAATGTTTTGATTTTCCCTCATTAACTCGCTTAAATAACTGACTGGTATGCTGCTATCGTTTCAATTTAAATGGCTTCATGGCGTCACGTGCAATGAGACGTCAATGGAAGAGAAATGGGGCCAATAACTGACATTTTAATGATTCTTAGGAGTTTAAGGGAAAACAAATATGAAAGCCAGAACCAATGCATTACCAGGATCTTTATCGTTAACTTTCCACGGAAAACCTTTTGTAAAACACCACATGAAATATCGTATTAAATGAAAGGTAACCTACCGACTTCGGAGCAGATTATGTCAAGTGCTTCCCATAATCCATCTGTGTTGCAGTACCTGTTTCCTGTTCCGGTAAGTTGATGGTAGCCTGTGTTACACTTGTAGTGTATGAGGCGTCCTGCTGGTGCTACAGTCGCCGTGGTGTACGCATGATGCATGTGCGTTGAAATAACACAATCTGAAATTTGGGAAATGTAAGAACTATGGTTAAATCGTAACACACGAGATGACTATTTTCAACAGTATCCCTTGTAGTATTAAACGTCAATATCCACAAAGAGAAATCTTCAACGATCAGTATTGTAAAGTGATTGTCACATGTCCAATTTCATCGCTTGATACTAATACTGTATACCATACACTATGTCCTTTGAGAACATTTTGTTTCCTCTTCATCGTTGAGTTTTGCAGTAGCATTAATGAGTAAAGGAAAGGGATCTTGTAACCATGACAACATAGATATACTGTTGTAATTACAACGTGTCCAAAGGTAAGTTTTTTAATATATTTTTTTGGTATTCCATCAGATTCCATCTTCAACACAGGTTGGTTCCGATTAAGTCAGAGATCATCTACTCATTGTTGTACACTTTAAGGCATACTACTACTACGTCTAGGGTAACATTTATTTTGTCTCTGCTAATGAAAGATGAACTCCATTGGTGATCTTGTGATTTTAAATTGAAAAGTAATGTTGATGGTAGTTTTGGAGATGGCGCGTGGTGGTCAGTATCGTAGTGTCCGCCAGGAAGTTGTGAGACACAATGAAATAATCAATACCCGTTACTATACACCAAACCGACGACAATGTGATGGAAATATACGCCATCGTGCCTTGTTATCTACTGTAATATGATAAACTAATAAATTCACTTAGCTCTGCAATGCAATTGGAGTTATCTTCCCTGCGTTATACTTGGCACGTTTAGGTTAATAGACCTACCTTCCCCATGAAAAATTTACTAAAAGATTTATTCTTATTTGTTGTTGTTGTTTTGAAGGCTCATTTCATATGGAACCTTGAATTGAAGTGCAAAGGTTTAAGAGAAATTCAACATGGCGCGGGAAACCTTGTAAAGCAAAGATTCCATATATATATTTCGACCCTTTGTCAATAATATTTCAACTTGACTATGTTGATTGTCTACCTGAAAATTGATTTCTTAAATTAATAAATTTGAGAAGCTGCCTTGTGTTGGCTGGACCATAGAGAAGGGGATACAACGAATTCATCAGACAAAAGAGTTGTCAGGCCTTATATTATAACTCAAAAAAGACATAGACCTTTCCATGAACAATTCAAGCACGCGCGTTCTTCTTTACATTGTGCTATTTACGGTATTTCCTCATGACCACGTGATATTGCAGGTATTTTAAGCAAACTTTTCACACACGAATGATCCACCATTTAATAGGATGGTAACCTGGAAAGGTATTTTGTCTTTCTACATCAGTTCACAATGTTTTCAATTAAATACAATCACAATACGGAGTATCAGTATTAATACACCGGGACTGAACGGCGTGTTTCTTTCCTGTGATTTAGTAGGGAAGTAAGTAATTAGTTAGGTACATATTCTGTGAAATAAATAAGAAAATAATACTAATAACTTAAATAGGATATCGACTTTAGTTTTCATTGTCATCTCTATTTTAACAGCTTTGTCAGGATAATTGTGGATACAAGACCGAAAAACTGATATATATCTTTATTAATGGTACCCCTTTAGTTGACCTAATTCTCTATGTATTACCTGGCACGCATTTCAACGACGGTACCGACCACTGTCCATTGTCTTGGCATAGAATGACACCAGAACCGAAGGAAGTAGTTCCTTGAGAGCACTCGTATTTTCTGCTCGAACCTATAGTTGTGCTACCGACAGTGACTACTGCGTCAGAAACACTCGGTGGGTCTCCACAATCTAAAATAAAAATACGAAACTTTTGGATATTAATCTAAATTAGGAATCTAACAGTAAATTGATTTTTTTACAAATCAAATGAGATCCAGCTGAATCAGTTACATTTACTTCTTCAATAGAGTACTCTATATGAAAGGTATATATTCTGTAAAGTAACGTACGACATATGAGAGATTTTACAGTCTCCATCATGATATATAGATTTTATGTGTGCAATATCAAGTTTTCGATTCAGTATATCCAGTGGGTTTATTATTGTGAAGATTGTTTCGAGACTATCACGTTATGTACTTGAATTGACCTAAATGTACCTGATGCTTTTCGTCGGTGAAGTGGAAGACGCTTACCAAACTGAACACTTACTCACCTTGTACCTGTCTCCGTGTAAATCTGGTTGTTGGTGTCGTGTATGGTCCTATTCTTACGTGTTTAATCATCTTGTTTTTTAAGATTAAAATATTAAATGAATCACTAAATGTAAAAACATTGCAATGTCAAATTAAGTTTCTCTTTGACGTAAACATTTCCTATAGAGATAACTAACATGTCACACAGTGTTTTATGTTTTATACTTAAGTCATTATACGGTTCATATTGTTAAATCTAATTACCTAGTTATTGTATAACTGATTAAATTCAGGTAGCCATTGTCACGTATAAATATACACCATTCATAGACTCTAGAAGAACATCCTGGCCAAAACGTCAGACAACACATTATCTGACCGAAGTGTAGACCACTGTAGAAAACTTTTGCAAGAAAAAATGACCCAAAAAATGTAAAATCACAAATCACAAAATAGATCCATTTTGTCATTGTTGGTCCCAACAAGAACAATCCTGTCAAAAATTGGTTAAGTAAACATTATAAAGAACCTGCTCCAAAAATTAAAAGAAAAATGCCCCAAAAAGTAGACTCCCAAACATGTAAAAAATAAAATGAAAACATAAAAATAATGTTCATAAATTGACTCTATACCCACAAAAACATTCACACAATGTACCAACCAATAATCTGACAACTGTAGACCACTGCCGAAAACTTTGCCAAAACTTTGACCAAAAATGTCCAAAAAAATGAACCTGTATCATTCATGGCAGAAATCATGACAGTAACATATTATCTGACTGAACTGATGTCCACTGAAGAAACCTGCACCAAAATCCACCTGTTGTTGCCGGACAGACGGACAGACGTTAGCAGTGTACAGTAATACGTCAGTGGAAATTCGACGAGCTAATAATAAAATTCTAGGTTTGAGAGCGACATAGGTTTCAAACTGTCAAAATATGACGTGCTTTACTAATCAAACAGATTAGGTCACTGAAATTATTGTTTAACGTATTGAAGATGTGATATTTTGATGCATGTCTGAATCTTATATAAATGAAATACCTTCACATTTGACTTCCGGTTCTGACCACTGCCCAGTGGGTAGACAGACGACTTCTCTATGTCCAATGTACCCGGGATCACACGGAAGGTACCGGGTGACACCCACCGGGCTCATCGTGGACGAAATATTATCATAGTCAATAAAATATGGAAGCTCCGCCATGGGACCACATGCTGAAATAAATATCTTTTTTTATATACAAAAATTTACAAGTTCGTGTATCTTAAATGCAGCTGTGTCTAAAAAATGATAATATCTATATTCTTAAAAATGTCCCATTATTGCGAGTCCTTTGACACATAATACAGCTGTCGAATAGGACGAATAAAAAGACCTGTTGTGCCCTAGAAAACGATTATTTAGCATTCGCCAGTTACAAACTAAAATATTAGACAACGTAAAAAAAATTAAAAGAAAATGAAATTGAAAAAGAAAAAAAATGGCGTCGAACCTCTATCCGTTATTGAGAACGAGACCTTGTTCGTCTGCGGCAGCGAGTTTATCGACTGTTTGTTCCACAGCTAACCTATGAATAATGCGGTTGTAGCTTGCTGCTTAAGGAAAAAGTAGCCGATAAGTTTCTGGCGAAGATACCTCCGAGTCGGTTAGAAAATTTGCATTTTTTCAAACGTGCATATGCTTTATTTGTAACAAAATTGCGGACATTAAGGAACTGACGACGTAGATTGGGATCTGATAGCGTATATTTCATCAAGTAAACCTTCTACAGTGTTCAAGTGTGAACAGATCATCTAATGTAGCCATGATATACTCAGATCAGTTCTCTTTTACGTAAAAAATCGGATTTTTTTAAAAACAATTTTATTTAGTAACAAGCTAACATTTTACAAATATTTACATACCAGGGCACTCAAACCGCTGCTATGTCTATATTTATTTAAACGTGTCTTAATAGCGACGTCATGTCTCACATAATACAGCAATCACGGTGCAAAAAAATATGTGCTTAGTAAATTATTTTGTATATATCCAGTTTTCCAGATATTAGACTGGAAAAAACAAAAATGAATAAACTAAATAGACAAACAGTGTTTCGCTTGTGTTTCGAATCCATCAGCCCTTATCGAGATTGGTGATGTGGCACCTTGAATCATCACCAGCAAGCCTATAATGAACCCGGTAGTGGCTTGTTACTTAAGGGTAAAGTTTCTGGAGTAGTGAACCATAGAGATTAATACTGCCGAGTCATTTAAAAGCTTTGCAATTCTGGCTCTTTCAAACGCGAATGTGCTCTAATGTTAACAAAATGGCGGGTCTTGAGAAACTAACGACTTAAATAGGAATTTAATAGTGTATATTTCGCAAAGTAAACTTTGTACAATGTCCCCGTGTGGTCAGATTATCTACTCATCTAAACATGTACTCGAATCAGTTGTGGTATAGTCGTCACGGTCATATTCAGATAACGATACGAATACTTACTTATTGTCAGCATTTACAATTTCCTCTGCCGGCGAATTTTCCGACACGTTTCTCAAAAACCATTGGATGGAATTTAACGAAACTTTACATGAGTGTTCGTATATGAGAAGCGGTATGCAAAAGCGTTTTCATTTTTCGGTCGGTCATTTTACTGGTCAATTGCGGCCTCTGGATAAAACTTAGATATTGTGAGATTTTCATGAAAGTAGGCATGTAGACGTGATTTTAAACAAGAAACACAATGACGATATTCGTTTACCGATTGGACAAGATGGTCGCCACTTTGTGGCTTCTGATTGGCTGAGAAATTTAGACATCGTCCGATTTCCATGATTATTTGTATGTAAGTGTGGTTTTACATAAGAAACAACAATGTAACATTCGTTTTCCGATTTTTGAAATTTATGATGATACTCAATATTAATGAAAATCGGTACAAACACCACCAAGATGTACGTGTTGTCCGACCCTACAAGCACAACGAGGATGTACTTTTTACTTGGCAAAATGGCTGACATGCACAGACGACTAATGTAATGAAATTGATACATTGTTTGCTTTTTATCACATTTCAATAGTGTGATGATATGTGGTGTTTGTAGCAGAAATTGCTTTATGCCAAAGGACATAAAACAAGACATACACATTAGTAATGAAACGATTTACCTGTAATTACACAAACCGTTGAGGCGGACGTCAGACGGATACAGGAAGTGTAATTTGGACAGTCATGTTCACGACATTTTCCCATCAGAGATTCATCCTATAATACATTAAATGCTATATCTAAGTCCTGGCGGATTGGATATTGTACTCGTGTTTCTTGCTCGCATTAATTGCTGTATAATTTCATGATTAAACCACAAATATTCATTGTTTTCTATTTCACAAACAACAAGAAACAACCGCCAACTTCACAAACTTTAAGTCAAAGTCTAAATCGATGAAACGTGAGCAGCATTTGAGCAAAAATATTAACATAGAGATACTTTTAACGAACAAGAGGGATGGAACCAAATGATCCGGAATACTTCGCGTTTGCTGCTTCGTCGACAGCGACCGCCATGAAACAGATAACAGCAACCGACCAATCAAGTATACTGTATATATTGACATGTAAATATATTAAAGTATTGTTATACGTGAATCACGACGTGGCAACTATTTATGTGGTTAAACAATAATACTTGTAACACAAGAAGTAACAAGGCTGGTGTAAATCTAGCCAAAAATATTTTAGGACCTGTAACGATTAAGTATAGGATGGTTTTCATAATGGGTGTTGGTAACGGTGATGTTTGCTCGATGTAAACACCGGTATACAGGGCTATAGGTTGATGTCATACTACGATAGCTGTTGCAGATCCGGAACATGAGACCCGTGACAGCCATGAGAATGGAGACAGCCATGTGAGAACTGTGATGGCCGTCAGAACATAGATAGCCATGTGAGAACTGTGACGGCCGTGAGAACCGAGACAGCCGTGTGAGAACTGTGACGGCCATTAGAACCGAGACAGCCGTGGGAGAACTGTGACGGCCGTGAGGACCGAGACAGTCGTGTGAGACTTGTGACGGCCGTGAGAACCGAGACAGTCGTGTGAGGCTTGTGACGGCAGTGAGAACCGAGACAGCCGTGTGAGAACTGTGACGGCCGTGAGAACCGAGACAGCCGTGTGAGGCTTGTGACGGCCGTGAGAACCGAGACAGCCGTGTGAGAACTGTGACGGCCGTGAGAACCGAGACGGTCGTGTTAGGCTTGTGACGGTCGTGAGAACCGAGACAGCCGTGTGAGAACTGTGACAGCCGTGAGAACCGAGACATTCGTGTGAGGCTTGTGACGGCCGTGAGAACCGAGACAGCCGTGTGAGGCTTGTGACAGCCGTGAGAACCGAGACAGCCGTGTGAGAACTGTGACAGCCGTGAGAACCGAGACATTCGTGTGAGGCTTGTGACGGCCGTGAGAACCGAGACAGTCGTGTGAGGCTTGTGACGGCCGTGAGAACCGAGACAGCCGTGTGAGACTTGTGACGGCCGTGAGAACCGAGACAGCCGTGTGAGAACTGTGACAGCCGTGAGAACCGAGACATTCGTGTGAGGCTTGTGACGGCCGTGAGAACCGAAACAGCCGTGTGAGACCTGTGACGGCCGTGAGAAGCGAGACAGCCGTGTGAGACCTGTGACGGCCGTGAGAACCGAGACAGCCGTGTGAGGCTTGTGACGGCCGTGAGAACCGAGACAGCCGTGTGAGAACTGTGACAGCCGTGAGAACCGAGACATTCGTGTGAGGCTTGTGACGGCCGTGAGAACCGAGACAGCCGTGTGAGAACTGTGACGGCCGTGAGAACCGAGACGTTTTTTTTATCATTCATCAATATCATTACAAATTGAAATTGTTAATTTCAGTCAAAGATATTTATCAAACATCAGAATATTTTTCTTTACAAACTAACACTAAGAAAGCTATGTCAGCATATTACCAGTGTAACAGTCAAAGGGATTGTTTTGAATCAGAATTCGGTACGTTCCTTGAGTTTAATTTATAAAAAAATTAACTCACTACAGAAGAAAGTTTCAGTTTTAAAAGTCTGAGGTAAGTGAGAGAAGTATAGGTCTGACATCGGATCATTGGGAAAGGGTTTCTTATCGCCGATGGATGTTTTCCTATATCATGATTACGACAAATACACCATCCTGATAACAAAAATATCTAAATTAGGCTGTCAGTGAACAGTAATTGTGAGAGTTTGTAACAAACAACAAGAGAATATCGACATGTTACCGAAAATCTTAATCTGAACGAAACATTAACAGAACAAAAGAATTTCAATACACAGAGATCTTTGGGAAATAATGGCCTTGTTGACATATAAAAAACCGACAGCAAAATCGAATATCACCTTGGTCGTTTCGCGTCAATAGTGTCATAACGAAACGACGAAAGCTACACTGACGTGTTTAGAACACACAAAACCTGGTGTCGTAATAGAGAATTGTTTTGAAGATTCCCCTCTTTCAAGAGGTATGCTCCAATGAGGTTCAAAACCATGTACTCGGACCACTGTTCACATTTCACATGCTAGTTACCAGAAAAAGAGTGTTGAACACCGTGAAAAAATTAAATGTTTGAAAGTTTGAGAAAGAAACTTACCGAAACTATTGTGGCCCTATCTCCATAGACATATTCAGGATAAGCTTCATAATTTCCTAATGCCGTATAAACACTGTCTTCATGAAGTAGACATCGGTGATTTTTGAGATTGTATGTAAACGAGTTGCACCCTGATTCCAAACCACATTGTCGAGCACAGCTATACAGACCGATCTCACGTATCGACCTATACCCCGTGGTAGATGAATAATGAGTACTTACAAACTGTGGCACTTCAAGTTCTACTCCACGAGTATTTGTACATATAGAAAATACCAACAGTAGTAGTATATCTACTTCCATGTTTCCTTAAGCCGTGTTGATAACCTAAGTCATTTTCTTACAGTTCACTTCCTCACTTTTCATGATCATGCACAAATTACCGACTGGTTGGACCAAACTCAGATCACTGGGCAAAATTCAGTTCAGTTTTTAAAATACAAATAATTGAAAAGAGGGAAGGAGGAATGGAGAGGGGGGGGGTGCATTTTATGTAATCAATATTGCATTTATTTGTGAATAAACATTGCTGCTTTATATAAAACCATTAAGAACATTTCGCGGGTTTTAATACTTTGTTTACCGTTCTCTAAAATCTATAGATATTTAATGTATATTTACTGATGATATTTGGTGTATGGGTTTATAATGAATGAGTTCAAAACAACATTTCAATTGGTATCTGTTTGAAATGTGTTATAGCTATTTATTTGGTAGAAAACGGCATAAACTTGCGTCATAATGTTCCGACCAGCTACATTATATCTCTTCCGTTGTACTATTTTTTGGGAGTTGTTTTTATAAACTACTACATAAAATCTCCGGTTCACTATAGTTCATCGTTTTTAACACCGGTTAAACTAACCTCCGTCATTTCCTGTTGTGTCTAGTGTCTCTGTACGATGATTACGTAATGCTCCGTGATTTCAGATTTCATAGACAACTTATATAACTGTATAATGTTGGTATCGTATTTGTGTGTTAGTAACTCGGATACTGTAGCCTTTCACCATTCACCCTACTTTGACAAAACATTTATCGATTCTGAACAGAAATAGGAAAGATCAGCTTGTCTACTGAATCAATAAAACTAGGACAAAATAAAACATAAGAAATATTACACGGAAACTGCTGAGAAGGTATAAAGATAATAAGACTTGATGTTCCGGATAAATAAGCGTCTTCTTCTTGATCGACGACATCCTCCATGTAAATTTTGGTTAATCATAGTAAATAATTTAACGTTCCCAAATGAGAACAAGGGTAACTACAATGAATCCAATTGGACAAACTAAGGATCATCAAATACATCCGACTTCAATACTTAAGGAACAAGTCCTTGATTATTGAAGCGACTGCGTCACATGAACTCCATAAGTTGGGGAAATGGAAACACGATAGATAAGTTGAAATATACTGTGGATGTGGTTAATAAATCTATGTTTATCTAAAGATAAGACGTCATACAGGATCAGTTGATAATTGATTTTTACTGAGATAAAGTAGGACCGAACAATAAATTACGCTGCATCATACAGATGTTTTGTCCTTTTAGGACTCGTCAGTGCCACTGCAATTTTGAAACCTAGGAAGCGAGTAAGGAAAATCCAAAAGTGATCGAAAGAAAAGTCAAAATGAAGACGGGGAGGTGCAGCAGCCCCATAAGTAGATGGATTTTGTAATTTTCATACATCAGACAATTTTAGAAAAGCGTAAAGTACATTTGTATATTCTGAGTGAATCAAAACTATTTCCCAACGGAAAGTAGTTCGCGGTTGTGTAACCCAATAAAAACATTACAAATATTAAAGGACATCCCATGCTGCGGACCCTGAGTCAATGGAAACATTTTCTATGCAGTATAGGTTTGTTGTATATACAGAGATCAGCGATAATGCGATAATAAATGATAATCTTATTTATCATGGTATCAAATGTTGATATAATTGAAAAACCTTGTTAATGGTTTTGTACATCCCTTAACAATATCTGAGAACTCCTGGCTTTTCTTTATAAATCAAACTAATACAGAAAAGATAATTCATCGTCGTTACATATTAATTTACCAAAGAACGGCTAATAACAATAACAGCTTTTAGGAGTCGTACCGTAACCTAGAAACCTTGAGGACGAAACAGTTGCTAGGATCTACTGTATCTAATTCTAAACGTCATACCGTAACCTAGAAACCTTGAGGACGAAACAGTTGCTAGGATCTACTGTATCTAATTCTAAACGTCATACCGTAACCTAGAAACCTTGAGGACGAAACAGTTGCTAGGATCTACTGTATCTAATTCTAAACGTCATACCGTAATCTAGAAACCTTGAGGACGAAACAGTTGCTAGGATCTACTGTATCTAATTCTATACGTCATACCGTAACCTAGAAACCTTGAGGACGAAACAGTTGCTAGGATCTACTGTATCTAATTCTAAACGTCATACCGTAACCTAGAAACCTTGAGGACGAAACAGTTGCTAGGATCTACTGTATCTAATTCTAAACGTCATACCGTAACCTAGAAACCTTGAGGACGAAACAGTTGCTAGGATCTACTGTATCTAATTCTAAACGTCATACCGTAACCTAGAAACCTTGAGGACGAAACAGTTGCTGGGATCTACTATAGTTAATTCTTAACTCCCGTGCTATTCACTTGTACAATGTTATAGCTGAAGTGACCGACGGAAAGTCTTTCGTTACAGTCCTTTATTTACATCCACAATGATACGGATATCTTTTCTTGTTATGCTATTTTTTTTCTATAATTCAACAAGCATAACTAGTTTGACGGTAAACTGTGTCTTTTGGTGATTTGAAAATTGGTTATTTCATTCCAGACATGTCAATAGGCTACTATCAATTACAAAAAGAAAAACAAAAACAAAACAAATCCGGTCTCAGACTGGCCTTGCCAGTGCCTCACGTCGAATGACCACTGAGGGGAGATGGGGCTATATTACCGTAGATAGTGTTAATAACCTTTAACCCTTCGGCTATTCATCATCAACAATTACAACATATAATAATACACTAGTGAATACAGTGATACAGACATATTATGGAGGATGGACAATAGGATTTGTATTGATATTTGATCTAACCTTAGAAAGCCAAACTAGAAAATTTTGCCATATTACTTAATCTTTTTCTTGCTCTTAACAGAGAGAAGATTAACTAGTTTGAACATAGATGGACGTACTCTATCATAATCTTTCATTTCTTGGTGCACTTTTGTATCTACCTCTCTCTATACAAAGATCCTGTGAACATAACTTAAATTTTGCAATTCCTGAAGCATATGCCTCCGGTAAAGATTTCCTAAGATAGTACTGAAGACAATTAACATCTGGTAGAAAACTATACAAAAACCATTTAGAAGGGTTTTCATAATTGTTAAAGTTTGTACAAAAGCATCAATCAAGCGTGACGTGTTAAACAACAACAACAGCAACAGCAATATATGTATTACACATGATAAAGATGTACAATGTTACATAGCTGACACTTACGGAGTAAGACTGGTACACAGAGTGAACTACAAGTAAGTTCGATCAAAAGTAAATATTGGACAGTGTACATATCTATTATACTTATCAACATAACGTAAAATTTATTTAAACTTTAACTTAATTAACAAGTTTTCAATCAGAATACATTCCTTAGAGTTGGGACAACTATCCTGGGGCAAACAATCCTCCACTACAGCTAGTGCGAACATATCACATATCTGGAATATCAACCACTGAAGTCCGTCAGTATACACGGTATAATGTTCAACGATAGTTGTAAAAATTTGTAATAATACATGCTTAGATAAAACAATATCTTAAGAACATCTATCGCTGGGGTCAAAGTTCACCAGTATACCTGATAATCGGATAAATTATGTATTCATCATACGACGAAATCTCGGCTGTGGAATCCGGTTGAGCAAGTTAAGATTCCCCTAGTAACAGCAAAACGCTCTGAAGTGTTATATATATTTACTGAATATTTTAACCACTTTAAAGGCGTGTTTCTGTCGTATGTCTTGTACAGTTCTTTTCCACGTATATATTTCAGGAAGAACATTGCTAGTTTTAATGGAGTTTCGCTGGCGATGTTCTAAATTACCTAATTTTGCAGGTATATATATAATTATGCGCGTGAGTGTTGTCCGGTGGAGATTGTGTCGGTTCGGGCCCGATATATTGCCTTCCTTAAGCTGAAGTGCCATGTTTCCAGTGGTAGCGATTCCGACAAATCGCCTTCCTCGGACTCTAGTCTCGTGTTTCCAGTGGAAGCGGTGTTCTTCAGACCTAAGTTTCCCACAAATCGCTTTCCTCGGACTCTAGTGTCGTGTTTCCAGTGGAAGCGGTGTTCTTCAGACCTAAGTTTCCCACAAATCGCTTTCCTCGGACTCTAGTGTCGTGTTTCCAGTGGTAGCGGTGTTCTTCAGACCTAAGTTTCCCACAAATCGCTTTCCTCGGACTCTAGTGTCGTGTTTCCAGTGGTAGCGGTGTTCTTCAGACCTAAGTTTCCGACCGATCACCTTATCCATGTGCTGGTGTTGATGCTAAGGAAGAAATCAAAACAAAAATCCTCGCTATCTTGAGTGGATTTTTTTTCATTATAAATCACCAAATGATAATGGAATGCCTTTTCAAAATTACTTCAGGGCAGCAATACAAACATTTAATCATTCTTTTTGGTCACAATCAACTTGAACATGAACAAATTCTATACAAGATGAAATGGAAACAAATATAACTACCAGTAGATAGGGCACAGTCTAAGTCCAGCGTTCCCACGATCCGTCTTCGTTGCATCGCCTCTCTCCTGATCCGCTCATCTGCTCATAACCCGTGTTACAGCTGTAGGAGATGGTAGAACCTGGAAATGCTTCAGTCGCTGTGGTGTGCGCATTCTGTATGTTCGTTTCGACAACACAGTCTGAAAATTTGAGACAACAAATTTTTAACGAATATGTTGAAGATGAACGATGATATCTCCTTTTCAATTCAATAACAAAGTTAGGATTTTTCCAAAGCGATCGAAAAAAGGACAAGAGGTGCTTTAGCCCCATAATACAATATATTTCGTATGTAACCTATACTTGATAACTCTATCGGAACGCCAAGTATGTGAGTGAGTTCCTGAAAGTTCGGAACAAGAAAAAGATAAGGGTAAAATCTCATATCGCGCCTACTTTAAAATTCATTTCTCAAATGTTGTATATATGATGTAAAAAGTTTCGAAATTAATATAACCTGATCAATATATACTGGACAAAATAAGTTAAGGATCATAAATTGTG